AGGAAAAGAGAAAAGAAAACAAAAATAGTTGCCTGACTTGCCTCGCCCATTACTTGCCATGCATGTCAAATTTCTACATTCTTGCGAGGCATTTTGCTTGCTTGGCTTATGTGGCAGGCGTAGCAGTGGCACAACCACGCCATTGCCAGTGCTCTAAGGAGTGGCCAATCCTTCCTTGTCTCTTCTAAATTGAGGGTTTTAAACCCTCCCCATGTGGCACAATAAGAAAAAGACACGTGGACATGATATTCCACCTCTTTTAAAAACTTAAATTATTCTTGTTAATTCAATATTGGCCCCAATCTAAAATTAATTTATTTTTACACCATGAATTATTATTTTGTTAACAGCGGGTTAACGGAATGGCCTGTTTTGTTCAAAAAAATGAAACTTGGGATTGTTTTCAGTGATTTTTTTTATTTAAATATTTTTTTAAGTTTTAAAAAAACTTTCTACATAAATTTCATTTTCCTTTTTTTAAAATATTATTCTTATCTTATAAAAAATAAGTATAAAATATAAAATATAAAAAATAAGTATAAAAATATTAAATATAAGATTTCAGTTATTGTTCTCAGTTTTGTTATTTTTTATATCTATTTTTTTTATTTATATCCAAAGTTAGACTAATCTTTAAAAGAATACAACAAAATGAAAGTTGTGATTACTTTTAGTGAATTTTTGTTTTTTATTTATTTAAATATTTATTTAAGTTTTTAAAAAAACTTTCTACATAAATTTCTTTTTCTTTTTTTAAATATTATTCTTATCTTAAAAAAAATAAGTATACAATTTCAAATATAAAAAATAAGTATAAAAATATTAAATACTCGTATAAGATTTCAGTTATTTTTCTCATTTTTTATTTTTTATATCTAGTTTTTTATTTATATCCAAACTAAAAAAGAGAAGTACACATATTTGGAACAAGAAAACGAGATTTCAGGACATAATGCTCGTACGTCTCATAAGAATGACATTTAATCAATGAAAAAATTGATAGAAGGAAATCAGAGAGAAATAAAACAAGAGATTGAGCCGATCTAGGGTTATATTTGAAGGGCCGAACCCGTCGATGGCGCTAGATGGAGATCACGACTCTGAACGAAGGCGGTGGCGATAGAGACGGTCTTCTAGAAAATACGATGTTTGGTTGGATGGGGATGGAGACGCAAAACAATTAACGAAGATGACATTAACGTATGATGGCGAAGGGAAGAAAAATAAAATAATTTTGGATTGTGGCCAATATTAAATTAACAAGAATAATTTAAGTTTTTAAAAGAGGTGGAATATTGCGTCCACACGTCTCTTTCTCATTGCGGCACATGGGAAGGGTTTTAAAACTAGGGGTGGGTTCGGTTTTGGCGGTTCGGTTTTCACCCAAAACCAAAGACAAAACGGAAGGTAAATTGGCGGTTCGGTTCGGTTCGGTTTTGCATAAAAAATATGTAAATCGTTGGTTATTCGGTTCGGTTTTATGCGGTTTTTATTTCGGTTTTTTTTTGTTTTTTCGGTTTATAAAAGTAGAAATTTATAAGCATTAAGAATTGCAAAAACACTAATTCGACGAAACAATAACAATATGTAGTGTTAGCTTTAGTTTTTTTGTTTGATTTTTACACAAAAACAAAAACCAAACGGAAGGTTATTGTTCCTTTCGGTTCAATTTTACATAAAAAATATGTGTTGAATACCCAACAAACATTTAGAAGATTCCAAATACTTCCAAAGACATCGTATGTAAAATCAATTACGAAGAATTTATGTTTTTTTGGTATAATACTTCCACTTTCATTATAACATCAAAGTATTTTTTATGTAAATATGTAAATTACTCGTATTAATTTTTAATGTTAATATAATTCTATATTAGGATTAGCTATTGGTGTTCATTTTCTTATGTTTTTTAAAGTTTAGAATAATATGGCTAGAATTTTTAATTAATAGTTAAGAAAATAATTTTAATCGACTAGTAATTTATTTGCATTTATATTTTTATAATTTTTCTACATATCACATATAATCATCTAAATAAAGTGAAGTATCTAAGAACGTTCAGTTTATTCGGTTTGGTTTGGTTTTTCAAAGTGAAAACCAAAACGGAACCAAACACTAACCGTTCGGTTCGTTTTTTTATATTCGGTTTTGGTTTTTTCGCTTCGGTTTTTTTCTAGCTCGTTTCGATCGATTTCGGTTCGGTTTTCGGTTTTCGGTTTTTCCAACCCAGCCCTATTTAAAACCCTCACTTTGGAAGAGGCACCAAAGGATACGGAGTAGTATTTTAAGTTATATACTAGTTGCACAGGGTCAGACGAAAGTTTTATCAATTCTGTAAATTGACTTCAATGTAATATTTTTAAATAAGTTATAAAAATATATGTAATGCGTTCTTTAACACTATAGACATTAAAATCAAAATAAAATAAATAATTTGGCATTTAATATTTGGTAATGAAACTTCTTATATTTAAATTCAAAAGTGAACACCTTAAAGTTTTTTAAAATCCATATTTTTTAAGCCATCGAGTATATAACATTTTTGGTGTGGTTGTTGCAAGGGTTTTCATTAGAGAGAAGGACCAAAGTAGTTGTAAAAATATGACATATTTTCAAAATAAGAGTTGAAACATAAATTCACCTAAATAAGAGTAATTAAGTTAATTAATCTAATGGCTTAGAGTTAAGGAATGAAATAGAAGTAAAACATTGACCAGAAGAAGAACCAAAGTAGTAGTAAAACATATAACATATCCTCAAAATAGGAGTTGAAAAGATTAGTATTTTGATTCTTTAGAAGAGCAATGCTAGGTTTACAAATAAAATGATCATAAAATTCATAAACTTACTATTTATGGTTTAAGTTCTCACTTTAATATTATTTTAAAATACTTTTTTTATAATTAAAATTCACAAGTAGTAAATTTGTGAGATTTGTGAGTATTTTATTTGTAAACCAAGCATTTTCCTTTTAGGACCAAGACTTGCTAATTTTTTTCGAGACTGCTTCAATTTAGATCTAGCCTGGTATTCATGTTTTGGACTTTTCAATCTAGATCAAAGCTGGTATTTTTTGGAGTCTTCAATCTGCTCGATTTGTGACTATTCATGTTTCTTGATTTCTTTTTTTGGAAGAAGATGAATGTGGATGATTTTGTTGATTTTCTTTAAAAATTATTTAATTTATATAATAAATTATTATGAAAATGTGAAAAATAGATGACATAATTGGGAAGTAAGTGAGAGTTTGAATTGCTAAATTACATCACTAAAATGAAGTATGCAAGTCGAATTGCAATTCCAATTCATTTAGTGAACTATATTTGTCAGAATTTTTGAACAATATTCATGCTCCGGGTATTCCAAATCATGAACTAACTTTGAAAGTTGGAACGCGTATAATGTTGTCGAGGAATATTAAGCACGCGATGAGGTTGTGCAATGCTACAAGATTAATAGTTACGTGTTTGGCCCTTCATTCCATACAAGGAAAATTTCTATCTAGCATACATATGTGTGAAAAAATTGTTATCCATAGAATGCCATTAACCACTTCAGATCTAAGAATTCCTTTCAAATTTGAAATACGACAACTCCCTGTAATGATTTTGTACGCAATGACCATAAACAATAGTCAAGGCTAATGACGATTTCACGTTGGCCTTCTCTCAAAAAGTTTCTATTCAGTTATGATTATGTTGTACTTTCTAGAGTGACACATCATAATTGTTTAAATTTTTTGATTTACGAAGAAAATGACCAACAAACACATTCCACAACAAATGTTGTTTAAAAAGCTTTTCGTAATATGTGAATGCTTTATAATGAATTTGTTTTGGATTTTGGGATGTAAAACAACATTCATTTTATGCAATTAATTTATACTAAACCACTGAAAACTCAAATAATTTATAATTTTTATATTTCAACAAATTTCTTGCCATGCAACGCACGTGTATAATTCTAGTTTAATGATAAAATGTGTATTACTTTTATTTTGATATTTTCATTATTTTTTTACTCATATATAGGGAGTTATCTTTTTCTAAGAAGTGGAAGTCATTTATCTTATACTCCGTAAGATTCATTAGTTTCAAAATCTCTCCCTATTTAAGTTTCTTTTTTAAAGGTGCAATAAGTTCAAGACATGTGAGTTTTTAATGCGGGAGTCTATATTTGTACAATTAATTTTGTTGTGAGGTTACTCTTTCAAACGAGAAATCATGAATTAAATTTGTTGGGAATAAATTACTATTAATGCTTCAATATGTTGAGGAAATATGTATTAGATATTATAATTATAATAGAGTTATTAGTGTTTTAAAGAAGTTTAATACATTTTTAAATAGAAAAAATGGGTACCTAACTTGCATGTTCCGCACATTTTTGTAAGCTCGAAAATATTCTTTCCATTTGACTTTTCATAGTCTCCAATGTTACATTTTAACCATTACTACTTCTCTAAACCGTGGGTTAAACAGACAATATTTATACATAGATATATCTTATAAAATTTGATATTTCAAAATCACATTTCAATAGAATAATATTTATATCAAATTTATATCATAATATAATATACTTCCTCCGTCCCATAAAGATGGGTACATTTTGACTAAAGAACATTTTGTGTTGACTTTCCAAAAGTACCCTTGATGTGATGAGTAAAAGTATGCCGTGATGTGTAAATTATTAGGAAAAAGGTATGATGTGATATGTAAGGTTTGAAAAAGTAAGGGGTAAAAGTAGTTTTTTAATGGAAATGGATAAAATATTGTGGAACACAATTTTTTTGAAATGTGTAAATCTTTTTAGGATGGAAGGAGTATTTTATATATATATATATATATATCAGAGTTAAAGTTTTCAAATTTTGATGAAGAAAAGTAAAAATGGAGAGAGAGTAAATAGATAACACGGATTAGTGAATTTTTCTTAGGGACCAAAGGTGCAAATTTCCGGATATCAGCCAGAATAAAACCCCGAGTACGGTCTGAATTCTAAAACGCAATTAACAAAACCAAGCCACAATCCCTCACCCTCTCTCAAAGCCTCAAGACTCTCAACTATGGCGGAGAACGGGAATAACACTGTTTATATTGGTAATTTCCCAATTACATTTCAAATCTTAGGGTTGTTTGGTGGCGTTTGTTGTTGTTTATTTGATGTATTGTTTTTTCAGAGCTTGGAGATGCATGTCTGTGATTTTTTTAATTCTGACTTCCATATCTCCATACATCACATGTTGATTCTTTTGTTTCGGTTCCAGAATGTTGGTCTGTAATCTGATATATCTAACGTTTTTCGTATTATATTTTGATTTTAGATTTGAGGAGATCAATCAACTGCGTATAAGCTAGGGTTTCGCAGAAATAGCTGAATTATAAGAATAAAAGCAATGTTTTGGAATTTATTTTGTGTGCTGTAATGAATTTTGGATGGTGAAAATCTTGGTTTCAAATTTACAATACACATGCTCCGGATTCTGATTCAAATGCTTCCTCCTTCTGATCTTGAATGATTGTCTCTCTGGGTTTAGGTGGATTTATGGGTTTATGAATAATCTCTTTACTGTTTTCCAGTTCTCTCAGATCATTTTATTTTTCATTGGTGATTTTCTGTGCTGGAATTACTATTACCAATAAAAATTTCTCCAATTTTTTTTACCTGATTTTGTAATTGCGTGATTAGTTGCACATTGTGTTGTTGGGTTTTTATGTACTTAAAGATTAATTTTTTACTTGGTATCTCTAAGAGCTTTGGATTTGAATTTTTGTGGATTATATTGATGTTCTTGATGTGAAAGAATTATGGCATTGAACTACATTTGATTTTCATTTTATAGGTAATTTGGATGAGAGGGTAAATGACAGGGTGCTGTATGATATTCTCATTCAAGCTGGTCCTGTGGTTGACTTGCATGTTCCTCGTGATAGGGAATCTAATAAGCCAAAAGGCTTTGCTTTTGCTATCTATGAGACTGAGGAGACCGCAGAGTATGCCGTCAAACTCTTCTCTGGTCTGGTGACATTGTGCAACAAAACACTGAAATTTGCAGTATGTTCTCTATATAACATGCCTTAGTTATTTGGTTATTCCATATGGAGTACTTCTATTATTACCTAAACTGTACATTTATATGACAATGGCATCTTTCTTTTGATTGCATTTCTCTTAAATTAGTTCTTATTTTCAAAATCACCTGACATAAACACAGGTTTGTTCTACATAAGCGTACCTGGGCTTTGCTTCTTAATGTTCGCCACTAGGCCAATATATTTATTTTCTGGATTTATTTATTTATACAGTGGAGTATCATCATTTATTGCTTCTCAGGACTAAGAAGAGGAAGATGTTATTGGTTGTAGGGTATTTCTTTTTGTGAGATGGCACTCTTAGCCCAGAGAACTGCAAATAAATGTCTATCATGTCCTTTGGGAAATGGGTAGTGATTAATGACTTTTTGAAACAGATTTCAGGTAAAGATAAGCCGCCAATGAATTCATCAATGGAAACCCCTAATGCATTAAGTTCTTCTATTAGGCAAAGGACACACTCTCTATCACCATATGATCCTGAAATTTCTCAACATTCTCCAAGATCATCTGCATCATGTCGGCTCTCAGAGTACCAAACAAATTCCCCAAAAGGTGAATATTGGTTCTTAGCTAAGTGTTCACTGTGAATTGTTGTCTAACGCTATAATTTTATTCCCCTCTTCTTTTAGTTAATGAACTTCAGATACCTCTTTTATGACATTTTTCTCTATTCAATTCCAGTTCCCCCTGGTGTACTATTACACCATCGTAATGGCCTTAGATCACCTAATGATGGATATAGGTCTCATTATGATGGCAACACGTATGATTACAGTCGGCGAGTATTTGGGGCTGCTTTGGATAGTTTTACCCCTTCTAGGTTGGGTCGTTATGATGCTCGTAATTCAAACAATTACTATTCACCTTACTGATTGACCTTAAGATTTGGTAAAAGATCAGCCCTGACATATCCTGTACCAAGTAATTGTAATTTATGCTGAATTTAGGGGATCTTAGTCTCAAAGGGATGCATTTAGCTTTTGCTGCTCTGACTGTTGTGTATTTGAAGGTGTTGTCTGATTTGGGATTCATTGTTTTGTAGCCCCTTGGAAGATTATGTTGTTTGTGTAATATTTATACATTTGAAACTTGTGATCTTTTGAAGAACCATATTTTGTTGTGTTTTTTTGTTTCTCGAAAAAGCCCCTATAGACTCAACTGCACATGTGGTGATGACATTGTTGCCTAATTTGCTTATGCTTCCGATGCTTGATTTGGTAAGTCTTCATTCCTGTGTTGTTAGATTCAAATGTGTGAACTTTGAGGTGCAAAAGAGGTAGGGACGAAATTTTGTTCATCTTTAACCTGCCAAGAGTATGATTTGTTTGCTTATCTTTGACCTAGAAGGAAGTTCAAAATTTCCTTTTTGGTTTGTCCGAAAATAATGTTTCTTTTAGGGTAATTTTTTGTGGTACTTTTTATTTCTCAACAAGTCTCTAATGCGATATTCAAATTTTTTAATGATCATGTTAGTTTCAACGTGGAAAGGAGCGAGTACAAGATTATGAAATGCGTGTATGTTCTTACTTTTATCAAATAAAAAGGGATTTTAGTTTAAAATGAAATTTTAGGTTATTATTCTAGAAGTCTACATCTTTATTTTATTTTTTTAAGATTTTATATAAACTTCGGTAATGTCCACAAAACTTGTACATAAATTTCTAAAAATATTCACCATTTTTCCTTTTATTACTTTTCAAATAAAAAATTAGTGTTCAAAAAAAATATTTTTATAAGTCTATAATACAAGTGTATCAATATTAAAACTAATTCTTATTAGAAAAATCCTATTGAATAGTCAAAAGTTATTTCTTATTTATTATTTAGTTATTGTATCTACCATAAAAGATCTTACGTCTAATAGTTAAATAATATTTGTGTAACACAACATTTACGTAGCACACACAATATAATTATAATAAATAAAATTATATTATTCAAAACATTTTTTACGAATAAAATTGAAAGAATTATAATTCAAAACATAAATTCTTAGAATGTTAAAAGTATAGATTATATATTAGCCCGTGCGAACCATGATATTCATGCGTAAAGTTCTTTTGACATTAATACACAATGTCAACATGACATTGATTCCGTTTGAAGTCTTTATGATACTTCGTTGGATCCGTAAATATTCCTACTCACCATAAACTTCCTTATATTCCTATTCCTCGTCGCCTCCTCCTTTTCAGTGACAATCCATTGTCTAAAGTTTCATCCAATTTTTTTTAATGTAGTATCCTCAAATGTTGTATTTCTTAGCATATTTTTGTTTGTGTTTTTCTTTTGGATGTTTGTATACAACTTGCGGATTATTTTATGCTTTACACCTCATAAAATTTTATGATTGTATTTTGTAGAGGTTTTGGACTCTGACATCTCGAAATATTTTGAATTGGCTGATTCTGAATGGAACGAGATAAAGTTGGACAATGTATCTCCCGAATCATTTCGACCAATTTGTTGGGATATGTATTGGGATCGAGATGACTCTAATCCAGATCAACTCACTCTCATTGATTATTGAAATGCTTTCGGAAGGGAGCAAATTGTAAAGTCTTTCCATGTCTACTCTATAAGGGATGTATTGTATTCATATTTTAAAGTAAGAAATCTCTGTTTTGTTTTAAAGTATTCATGAAGTATATATCAAAATATAGTTTTTTTATTTACATATTCAAAAGTTGTAGATATTGTGTGAATAATTTTTCTTCATTTATAAAAATTAATAGATAAGGCATCATTGCAAATATATCATTCCAATAAAATATTGCAACAATAATGCAAGTATTTGTTACTAAAAAAGTAAATTAATTGTTGCAAGGCAAAGTTTTTGCAAATCAAAATTGTGCACTAAAAGGGAAATTAATTTGCAGCAAGGCAAAGTTTTTGCCAATATCTCCTCAATCAAATTTGTTGCAGGGAGTCATTGCTACACTATAGTTGGTGCAAAATAATAATAATAATAATAATAATAATAATAATAATAATAATAATAATAATAATAAATCATTTTTAGAACAACTGGTCGGTAAGTAGAAAGAGTTTGAAAAAATTAAAAATAGTTGGAAGAAATTGGAAGGAACTAGAAAAAACTAGAAAGAACTGTAAGAACGGTAAGAAACTGGAAAAAACTGAAAATAATTAGAAGGAACTGGAAGAAACTGAAAGTTAGAAGTTCAAGCCTTAAAGAACATGCTTTTAATGTTTCAATAGTTTTGTGAGACTATTATCCATTTCGTGGGCCATGAAAGTAGGGGTGAATTTTGTTTTAGCGGTTTGGTTTTCACCTAAAACCAAATACAAAGCAGAAGGTAAGTTGGCAGTTTGGTTTGGTTTCGAATATAAAATATATAAATCATTATATTGGTTATTCAGTTCAGTTTTATGCGGTTCATATTGTGGTTTTTTATTTTTCTGTTTTTAAAAATAAAATCTATAAGCATTAAAAAGTTGTAAAAAACACTAGCTATTTTGATGGAGCAATAAGAATATGTAGGGTTGGGTTCAGTTTTTCAATTTTATTTTTTCATAAAACCAAAAATTGAATGGAATGTTAGAGTTCAGTTCAATTTAAATAAAAAATATGTGTTGAGTGCCCAACAAACATCTAAGAGTTTCCAAATATTTCTAAAGCTTTTGTATGTAAATATCAATTACGAAGAATTTGTGTTTTGGTATAATATTTTCATTTCTATTATAGCATCATAGACTTTTCATATAAATATATAAATTACTTGTATCGATCCTTAATGTTAATATAGTTCTGTATTAGAATTAGTTATTGATGTTTATATTTCTAGGTTTTTTAAAGTATATAATATGGTTTCAAATGTTTAATAGTTATGAAAAATAAATTTAATCGACTTATCAATTATTTGCATTTATATTTTTATGATTTTTTTATATCACATATACTCATATAAATAAAGCGAAGTACCTAACAAAGTTTGGTTATTTATTTGGTTCGGTTCAGTTTTCCGAAGTGAAAACCAAAACGGAAACCAAACAATAACGGTTCGGTTCAATTTTTTTACATTCAGTTTTGGTTTTTTCATTTTGTTTTTTTTCTAGCTCTTTTCGATCAGTTTCAGTTCAGTTTGCGATTTTCAGTTTTCCCAACCCAGCTCTACATGAAAGATTGCGAGTTACACATACATATGTGTGGTATGACTATATGCACAAAAAAATCAACAAAAAATGCATGGTAGCTAATAATGGTACTCTACTAGATCGACCAATGGAGACCTGAGAATATATACAGTGTAAGTTAAAGCGACTGTTGATCGAAGCGCGTGCATAGGTGGCACACGAAGGGATCAAAGTATACTTTTTTGAACTTTATCGGTCATCTATTTGTTTATTACTCATCTTGAACCTCATCAAGTGGTATGAAAGAAAGTCTCATTATGCAATATCTTTCCAAGAGAATTTTAAGGCTATGTATATAGAGTCTTCGATTTGTGTACATGTCACATGAAGCAATAAGTGGCGATCATATCAGAAAAACAGTAAGAGATGTGCATACGCGCATTTGATTCCCGAAAGGGATGATTCGCATATGTTTTCGAGGAGTTTGTTTATGCTACGAAGTGAGTTTCTTGTTGTCCTTGGTGAAGTAGACACATTCAAATGGGTGAGAGAGTACTTCGCATTTTTATATCAAACAAAATATTCTTTCCAAATATTTGGTTTTATGTGGGAGGGATTAGATTTTGTGATAGTTGAGGCAAAGAAGTATGGAAATATGGTGATGTCTTTAGAAACTCTCTTGTGAAGGCCTACTACAAAAACCAAAGTGCTTCTTTGGTGGATCTAAGGTCCACCCCATTTTAGATAGACTTTCAGTGGCTATGATTAGCAAATACTTACTTCCTTGATTAGCATGTTTTCCATATTATTTTGCCTAATGCTATGTTAAAAATTCATTGGAATTTTTATTTTCGAATGTGTACAAAAGAACATCTGAACCGCTTCCTCTTGAACCAATTCGTGCGAATAGACACGACCTTTGGAGAGAGGCGCCATCCGGTTGTTCTCGTTCTTACATGCGTCCATAAAACCGATTGCAAGATTGGTCAAGGAGAGAGATTCGAAAATCACCACAGAAGTTCCTCACATTGTTCTTCAATATCTCTTTGAGTTGTATCCGATCGAAAGATTCGTGCCAACCGCCAAGTGAATACATGCCTTTTAGATAATCCAAGTACTGATTCGGTTTTCTAAGAATCTCTACAAAAGTTTGTAGAGAAGCTAATTATTGTAGAATATAATGTTATATATATATGTGTGTGTGTGTGTGTGTGTATATATATATATATATATATATATATATATATATATATATATATATATATATATATATATATAGGGGCTGGATCAAGTGAGAATGCACCTTGGTGAAAGAAATAAGAATAAAATCTAGCCTTTGGATCTGATGCATCGTGCGGCTCAGATTGCATCCTGCACTCAGATTTTGAGATAGTGCATTTTCAAAGGTTTTTGGTGCATTTCGACAAGATGCATATTTAGACCATTTTGGTGCACCTAATTTTGATGCAATCCTAACCCTTAGATCTCACAATCTAAAACACCAGATTCATTCTTATTTCTTTCATAAGATCGCATTCTCACTTGAACCAATATATATATATATATATATATATATATATATATATATATATATATATATATATATATATATATATATATATATATATATATATTAGACCAGATTGGGAAATATAAAAAAACTAAATTCATTTATCATAATTTGTACTCCCTCCGTCCTGAAGTATTCGTCCAGTTTTGACTTTTGGAACTGTTCATCTAAGCACTTTGACTCATCAAATTCTCTCAATGTGTAAGCCTAAATATAGTCATGTGTAATCTTGTTTGATTTGTCTTAACATATACTCCCTCCGTTCCAAAAAGATTTACATCTTTCAAAAAAATTACGTCCCACAATCTTCTACTCATTTATATTAAAAAACCACTTTTACCCCTTACTTTTTCAAACCATACCTATCACATCATACCTTTTTCTAATAATCTACACATCGCATCCTACTTTTATCCATCATATCAAGGGTATTTTTGGAAAGTCAACACAAAATTATCTCTACCTTAATTTCAACTTTAGTAAAAACGTGTAAATCTTTTTGGGACGGAGGTAGTAGATTATTAATATATAATTTCTATAATTTTTTAATATAAAAATTACAAGATAAAATAGATTAAATAAATGTATTGAATAATGTATAAAAATTAAAGTGGACAAATACTGGGACGGAGGTAGTACTTTGGAAGCACCACAAAAGGATTGTAGAAGAAAGAGCTCTCACTGAAGTGTCAGAGAAGCGCATAAAAAAAGAAAATCCGCTGCCGGGGGTCGAACCCGGTTGATTGACCGAGATTTTCAATAAGCCTGCGCTACAGCGGAAATCAGAAGAACTGTTGTTTTGCTTGCATAATATTTATATATAAAGCTATTTAGGGCCAATTTGATGTGGAAGCTAAGTCCGAAGTACTGAAGTGGATTTTTTTAAACTACGGAGTAGTAATTTTTTTATTCAGATTATTATTTTCCCGTGTATGCCTACTTTTATTAAGATCAAAATATTTTCAATAAATTTAAGTTGCTTTTTAAAAATATATTTTTGTATTTTTCATATTACAAAATTATGCAGATAAAAATAAATGAGTAAATTTCATAATTGGTCCTTTATAATGAGAAATTTCCATATTTAGTCCTCTATTATTAAATAGTATCTCCATAGTTCTTCTTTTATGAGTCCCCTTTCATAAATGACCATTTTTTATCTTCTGTCATGTTGGTGTTAATTTCAAGGTTAAAAATAGAATTTGACATCAACCTTATGTCCAGGAACGTATTCTGATATTGGTTAAAGGGATAACGCAAAAATAAGACTATGATTGTAAGCTGGGATTCCAATTTCCAACAAAAGAACACATCTGTAGACTATGATTGCGGTAGAAAGCGACTTTAACACAAACGACGCATTAAAAGCGGGCTTTGGATTGTGTACGACAAGAAAATTATATTATCATTGTGAAGTTACACTTTTAGCCCTTAAATTAACACTAACATGATAGAAGATAAAAAAACTATTTGGGAAAAAGATACACATAAAAGAAGGACCAACGGGGTAATATTTGATAATAGAGAACTAAATAGGGAAACCCCACATGTCATAAAGAACTAATTATGAAATTTACTCAAAATAAATTTATGGCATGTTTGGGAACATGAATTTGGATTTCAAATCCAGATTTGACTCAAATTCCATTTTTGGAAAATTCAAAAATTTTGAATTTGGATTTGAGTCAAATTTCTCCCATTCATAAGAAAGCTTAATTTCAAATTAATGCGCCTCCTCTTGTCATTTGAAATTTAAAATTTCAAATCTTGGAATTGAAATGCTTGAATTGAAATGAAATGCTAGTTTCTAAACACTACCTTATAACATTTGAGACTCCCCACTATTGAAAGAGAAAACGAAAAAAGAAAATGCGTGAAGAACCACTAATAGTGTGAGAAAAGTTATTAGGATAAGTGGTTTGATGTTAAAAAAAAGAGTAGAGTATTTGTACCATATGTCCGGATATACACTGTGTTGGGTTATGAAATCCAAGGGTAGGGAAGAAGAAGGATAAGGATGAAGAAGATCCTTGTGTGGTGTGTGTTGTATTAGCTTCCTCTCTCCCCCCTCTTCCAAGAAGAGGAGTATAAATAGGGAGAGTTAGGATTAGGGTTCCGAACTAATGGGTCGGCCCAACAGACTGGGCCGCCCTTAAATAAATAACTAACGTATGACTAACGGGCCGGTCCAACAGACTGGACCGCCCCAACTAATATTATACAAAGACTGGATACCCCTGTCCAGGGTATCCATCACACTGTTTCTCATACAATCGTATGAAAATAATCATTTTCGAGTAACAGAATATTCATTTTCGAGTAGACCAATACTCATTTTCGAGCATAACTAATTTTAACACTTTAATATTTTCAATCACTACGTGAAGCCTAGGGGCATTTTATTTTTTGGATTTTTGTAAATATGTGTATGTTCTTGAGAAGATTTAAATTGTACTTCCTGTTTTAAAAAATATTTTCTATTTTGACTTTTAACAAAAAATTTTGTAAATTAACTTTTCAATAATATTTTTTGCGTTCAAGAGAAGCTAATTTGGTCTTGTATAATGTTATATTCTTTTCCTGATCAGATTGGAAAATATAAAATGAACTAAATTCTTTTATCGATAGTTCTAAATTTATTTACCTGCATAACTCCTTATCCCTAATGATACCTAATACGGAGTAAGTTCTAAATTTATTCACCAATTAGTTTTAGAAGAGTTCTAAATTCATTTATCACTTGTTGTTTATAATGTTTGACTGTAATTATTTTCAACCCATTTTCTTTGAAAATTAGTGTAGAATTAAAAAATAAAATTTACATATCAAAAGCTAAATTAAATATTTTACAAAACTATGGGTGATATGAAATGTAACGCCTCAAAACCCGGCTTGGTATTTTTAATTAATTTATATAATTAATTAGTTACCAAGTCGGTAAAAATGAAGATTATTCTCTAATTTGCGTATTTAATATGAGAGTTGACCTACGTTGTAGGTCTCGCTGTTCTGAACCCGACCGTACAAACGAATTGAGAATCGGACTTGCTGGGCCTAAGATACGAATGCCGAATAAGGTAATTGGGCTTAAATACATCCTGAGCAGCAGCGCCGCCGAGCAGCCAGCAGCAGCGCCGCCGAGCTCCGCCGTCGCCGCCCTCGCCGAACGCCCTAGCCGCCGTCGCCGCTCTTCCTTCCCCGTCGCACGGTAGATTCGGCTGCAACAGGGAGTGCAGCGGCGAGCTTCTCTCTTTCAATTTGGTTCCTAATTCTTCAATAATTCGAGGTGATTCGTGATTCCTATACCTATAGTTGTCATTAATTCGTAGTTTAGGATCTTGTGGTAGCAATTTTGTGTTTGATTGTGAAATTTGTGGTTGAATGTGCATTAGATTGGATTGGGGTTGTGTTGGGGGCTGTTTTGCGGCGATTCGACGGCGGCTGGCCAGTGGTGGCTACGGCCGGCGTACGGGCAGTTTCCGGTGGGTCCAATTTGGAACCAATTGGTTTGATTTGGACCCAATTGGTTAAATCGGGTTCATTCGGGTTTCAATTGGGATTGAATTTTGTGCAAACGGGTCGGTTTAGATTCAATTGGGGCTATCTGGGCAGTTGGGGCTGACCAGGTCGTGGGACCGACTGTCCGGGGTGTTGGGCCGGTGGGTCCGGCTGTTAGGCCGGCTACATTGGGCCGTTGGGCCGGCTGCATTGGGCCGGTTGAGTGGGGCTGCCTGAACGGGCAGCGGGTTGGGGCTGCCGGGTCGATCCAGTGGGTTGTCGGCTGATCCGGTGGTGAATGATACTGCTCAGGCGGGGGCAGGCGGGCCCGAGGATCGATTCCTTGGTCTCGATTCCGCGCAGGTAAGTTGGGTTAATTGCAATTTGGGTTGTTTGATTATGCATGACAGTAATCGCGGGTCTTTGGCCCGGATAGGCCGCTACGTGACTTGTTGTGAATTGTGAACTGAGATTTAAATTAAATTGATCTTGTTGGTGAATATTGTGGATTATGAATGATAAATAGGAATTATGCCACATAGTATAATTAAGCAGGCCTGAATTGGATTGACTTATTGAATCACCAATAAGATATGCTAGGAAGTGGCCTTTGCGGGGCGTCGTTGCACCCCCGGGGGTCTTGGGTTAAAAACGTACGTACGGAAGTCCGCGACCTATCCTGGCATCGCCGGGACAGGGGCTTCAACCCACCCAAAGTGAATCTCCTTTGGGTTTATGAGCTGGCCCTTTTATAGCATCGCTTGGGGTGCCATGACTCAAAGTAGTTGATGTGGAATAAAATAAGGACATGATATTCAAATGAAAGGTGTTAAAATAAATATGTTTATTTAAGCTATTTTTTTTCTCCGCGATCACATGTTGTTGTTATTTGTATGCTAACGTGGTGCTATTCTGTGAGTTAATGCTAGCTTAGGTATATTTTCATTCAGCAAATCGCTGAGCGTGTAGTCGTTGTTGTTTGACTGCACGCAGGTAGGAACACAGATTTTGATGGGCAACCCGGAGGGCAGTGAGGTGGTGGTGCGGCGTGGATGGCTCCTATTACTTAAATAAATAAACTACATTATTTTATTTGGTTATATGGACTGTTGGACGTTACTTTGGTTTTATTATGCTTCCGCGACGTTTGGACTTGTTTTATTACTCCGATAAATTTTGGTTTGGTTTCGAACTCTCACAGATGAATTTTATAATTTATTCAGTTGATTTAATTTTTTTTATAAATTATGCATGCGAATACCAATTTAGTAACAATCCGGTTCGCTAACCCGTTGGTTCGGGTTATGCGGGTTGGGGTGTTACATTTTGGTATCAGAGCATGTGGTTTTAAAAATGATTATTTTTTGGGCCACGAATGGTCGTTACTTAAATAAATTCACGTATAACGTTACTTTTGTTTATAAAAAATGTTATCAATTTCAAAAAAAAATAAGAATAATGTTATGAATTTTTGAAAAAAAAGGAGCTACTATTTTAACACATATTGTGTATACATGTGTTGGGCATCCACAGCTTCACCGTGTCACTGTTCCGGGTGGTAATTTCTTAAGTCCTTGTTTGTTAATTGTTGCTTAATTTAGTAAAATCATAAATTGTAGAATGGATCCGAACGTGAACCTCAACGACAACCACTCCGAGGGAGATAGCGTGTCTCCCTAGCAACTTAATGCGAACCAGAACCAGAATGCCCCTCATCAGGAAGCCCCGCACGGTGGACTTGCTGGGATCCCGCAAATGGATCCTGCTCTCCTGATGCAGCTCATGCAACAAATGCTGATCATGAATCAGAACGCATTGGCTAGGCAGCCTGAGCCAAGGATTACTTTGGAGAGATTGAGGAAGAATGGTGCTGAAGAGTTCCTCGAGGAGAACATCGTTGATCCGTTGGTAGCGTTCCGGTGGCTGGAGCGCGTACGCCGCGTGTTCGAGAACTTAAAGGTCCCCGTGGGTGAGTGGGCTGATCTCGCTGTGATGTTGCTGCAGAACAACGCGTTTGAGTGGTGGAAACGCACCACACGGAATACCGACCACCCTCCCTAGTTGACGTGGGAGTATTTCGATCGCGTGTTTAGGGAGGAGTACATTCCGGAGTCTTTTGTTGAGGAAAAACGGGAGGAATTTGTGCACCTGGAGATGGGGACCATGAGCCTTCTGGAATACCGGGAGCTCTTTGATCACCTGGCAGAGTTTGCTCAAGATCTGGTGAATACTCCAAAGAGACGATGCGATAGATTTGTTAAGGGCATGTGCATGAACCTCTAGGAGGGTATGTCTACGGCGTCCAGGCAAGACTTTGGCGTCATGGATGAGCAGGCTAAGGAGGTGGTCAGGACCCGATAGGGAGCAAAGCTGGTAGTGGAGCAAAAGGCAAACAAGATGCCGGTTCAGGTAGCCAGTGCTGGTAAGGCCTATTCGGGGAAGAGACCTCTGAGTGGGTCTGGTATTCAGTCGTCCAAGAAAGCCAAGTCAGGACCAGCTCACTCAGTGGCATCCAGCAGCAAGACAAGGCCGTCAAAGCATCCGATGTGTGAATCTTGTGGGAGGAACCATCCAGGGGAGTGTTAGAGGAGTTTAGGGTTGTGCATGGGATGCGGACAGTCTGGGCATTACAGGAGGGATTGTCCTACTAATCCTGGTCTTCCGTTCCCCACGGCTGTAGCATCCACTCAGACGACGGCTCCCCGACCTGCCCAGAGTCAGCGTTCGACGGCTAGGTCACAGCCACAGCGACCCCCGCAACAGCGGCAGCCTCAGGCTGCACCACATCAGCAGGGCAGGGCTCCAGCGTGGACATACGCTATGCAAGGGCGTGTCGATCCTAATCCTGACGTCATACTTGGTATGTTTACACTCTTTGGTTCGGATCTGTTAGCATTGATTGACCCTGGGTCTACACTGTCATATATATGTGTTCCTTTGCCTGATAATTCTGTTGTCGCGAGAGGTCAGTTGGAGAGTCCGATGCTGGTGTCCAATCCCCTTGGGCACAGTATGAGCCTACATCACGTCTACAGACAATGCCCTTTGACCGCGCGTGGGAAGATCTTTCTCGCAGATCTTATTGAACTTCCATACAAGGAATTTGACATTATCCTTGGAATGGATTGGCTTACCGAGCACCAGGCAGTCGTAGATTGCAGTTCAAGGACTGTACGGTTGAGAGCACCGGATGGAGACACAATCATGATCGATGGGGAGTTATTTCCTAAGGCGCCTGAGTTTATCTCTTATATGCAAGCCAAGAGATTGGTCCGAAAGAAGTGTGAGGCATTCCTATGCACCGTGAAAGATGTACGGAAGGAGCCACCTAGCCTTAAGGATATTCCTTCCGTACATGATTTTCCTGACGTGTTTCCTGACGAGCTACGAGGTCTGCCTCCCCCAAGGGAGGTAGAATTCTCCATTGACTTAGTTCCTGGTACGGAACCCATTTCGGCTCCCCCCTATCGCATGGCTCTAGCAGAGATGAAGGAGTTAAAGGCGCAATTACAGGAGCTGATTGATAGGGGATTCATCCACCCAAGTGTCTCCCCTTGGGGCGCACCTCTCCTTTTTGTGCGAAAGAAGGATGGGTCTATGAGGCTTTGCATTGACTACCGACAGCCCAATAAGGTGACTGTTAAAAACCGTTATCCATTACTGCGCATTGATGATTTGTTTGATCAGCTACGTGGAGCCAGGGTGTTCTCGAAGATTGACTTAAGGTCCGGATATCATCAGATTCGAGTAAAGAAGGAAGACATACCGAAGACAGCTTTCAGGACGCGTTACGGACATTATGAGTTCACCGTAATGCCTTTTGGACTCACTAATGGTCCTGCTATCTTTATGGATCTAATGAATAGTGTCTTTCGGCCGTACTTGGATCAATTCGTCGTGGTATTCATCGATGACATCCTCGTTTACTCAAAGAATGCCGAGGAACATGCGTTCCACTTGCAAAAAGTATTAACCATCCTAAGGGAGCAGGAACTCTATGCAAAGTTGTCCAAGTGTGAGTTTTGGCTTGAGGAGGTAACTTTCTTAGGTCACGTGATCTCCGCTGAAGGGGTGAAGGTTGCCCCGAGTAAGATTTCTGCCATAGTTGACTGGAAGGTTCCCCGTAATGCTAGGGAAGTGAGAAGTTTCCTCGGACTGGCGGGGTACTACCGGCGGTTCGTGAAAGACTTCTCCGCGATTGCTTCCCCTCTTACTAAACTCCTACGGAAGGATGTGAGGTTTGCATGGACAGACGCATGCCAGAGCAGTTTTGATCGGCTGAAAGAGTGCTTGACTAAAGCCCCGGTGCTGATCCAGCCAGAACCGGGTCGTGAGTACACGNGCCATAGTTGACTGGAAGGTTCCCCGTAATGCTAGGGAAGTGAGAAGTTTCCTCGGACTGGCGGGGTACTACCGGCGGTTCGTGAAAGACTTCTCCGCGATTGCTTCCCCTCTTACTAAACTCCTACGGAAGGATGTGAGGTTTGCATGGACAGACGCATGCCAGAGCAGTTTTGATCGGCTGAAAGAGTGCTTGACTAAAGCTCCGGTGCTGATCCAGCCAGAACCGGGTCGTGAGTACACGATCTACAGTGATGCATCTCTTTGTGGATTGGGTTGTGTACTCATGCAAGAAGGTAGGGTGGTTGTCTATGCCTCGAGGCAGCTGAAACCCCATGAGGGTAATTATCCGACTCATGACTTGGAGCTAGCATCAGTTGTTTTTGCCTTAAAAATCTGGCGACACTATGTCTTCGGTGAAAAGATTCTTATATATACCAATCATAAGAGTTTGAGGTATTTGTTGACCCAGAAGGATCTGAACCTGAGACAGAGGCAGTGGTTAGAACTTCTCAAGGACTATGATTTCACCATCGAGTATCACCTGGGTAAGGCTAATGTGGTGGCTGACGCCTTGAGCCGCAAGTTGATAGCTGAACTCCATATACAACCAACGTTGGATACAGAAATCCGGAATGCTCAGGAGGACGACGAGTTCTGTCGCATGACACGGGACCTTGTCTCTAGTGGGAAGAGACCAGAGTTTACTGTTGGTGCTGATGGAATCTTGTTTTTCCGCAACCGTCTTGTGGTACCATGCGGGGCCGTGAGGGAGCGGCTGTTACGTGAGGCTCACGAGTCAGCATACACTATACATCCGGGAAGTAACAAGATGTACCACGACTTAAAGGGGAACTATTGGTGGCCTGTGATGACGAAGGAAATTTGTGAGTTTACAGCTCGATGCTTGACATGTCAGCAGGTCAAAGCCAAACATCAAGTACCATCGGAATTGTTGCATCCGCCTTCTATTCCTGAGTGGAAGTGGGAGCGTATCACGATGGATTTCGTGATTGGGCTGCCCTTGTCTCCCTGTAAGAATGATGCTGTATGGGTCATCGTGGATCGTCTTACGAAATCTGCGCATTTCTTACCTGTTCGACGGGATATGTCACTACAGAAGTTAGCAGAGTTGTACCTCCGCGAAATTGTTCGGTTGCATGGGGTACCTGTATCCATTATCTCCGACAGAGACCCCCGTTTCACTTCAAAGTTCTGGAAGGGACTCGAGCAAGCCTTGGGTACAAAGTTAAACTTGAGCACAGCCTTCCACCCTCAGACTGACGGTCAATCTGAGCGTGTGATACAGATACTTGAGGACATGATGAGAGCATGTGTGATTGACTTTGGGGAAAATTGGGAGCGATACTTGCCGTTGATGGAGTTTGCTTATAATAATAGTTATCAGGCGAGTATTCAAATGGCCCCATACGAGGCACTGTACGGGAGGAGGTGCAGAACACCAGTGTGCTGGACTGAATTGAGCGAGGCGAGGCGAGGTTAGAAGGTCCCGAGCTTGTTCGTGAGACAGAAGAAAAGGTACGGATCATCCGCAAGCGTTTGCAGACAGCATCAGATCGGCAAAAATCTTATGCGGACTTGAAGCATCGGGAGATTTATTTTGAAGTGGGGGATAAGGTTTATCTAAAGGTGTCACCTTGGAAAAAGGTTCTACGTTTTGGAAAGAGAGGAAAATTGAGTCCTCGTTTCATTGGGCCTTATCCCATCACTGCGAAGGTTGGCCCCGTAGCTTATCAGTTAGAGCTACCACCTGAGCTGAGTAAGATTCACAATGTGTTCCATGTGTCTATGCTCCGACGTTACCGATCAGATCCGACTCATCGGTTACCTGAAGGCGTGGTGACTCTGGACGAGAACTTGACCTATGAGGAGGAGCTGGTGCAGATTTTAGCACGAGAAGTGAAAGAGTTGAGGAATAAGCGGGTGCCTCTAGTCAAAGTCTTGTGGCGTAACCATGCTGTCGAAGAGGCTACGTGGGAGACCGAGGAGTCCATGAGAGTTCAGTATCCTCACCTTTTCTGCGATGATGGTTCAGGTAATTTCGAGGACGAAATTCTTTTAAGGGGGAGAGAAATGTAACGCCTCAAAACCCGGCTTGGTATTTTTAATTAATTTATATAATTAATTAGTTACTAAGTCGGTAAAAATGAAGATTATTCTCTAATTTGCGTATTTAATATGAGAGTTGACCTACGTTGTAGGGCTCGCTGTTCTGAACCCGACCGTACAAACGAATTGAGAATCGGACTTGCTGGGCCTAAGATACGAATGCCGAATAAGGTAATTGGGCTTAAATACATCCTGACTGGTTAGGAAGTGTAAACTGGACCCTTAAATTCTATTTAATTTTATATTAAATATGAAGGGGGTTACGAGACTTACCATCCATCCGTTTTTTTTCCGTTCGTGTCTCTGCTCTGCGTCCGTTCCTCCTTCGTCGTTCCGTCAGCCAGCAGCAGCGCCGCCGAGCTCCGCCGTCGCCGCCCTCGCCGAACGCCCTAGCCGCCGTCGCCGCTCTTCCTTCCCTGTTGCACGGTAGATTCGGCTGCAACAGGGAGTGCAGCGGCGAGCTTCTCTCTTTCAATTTGGTTCCTAATTCTTCAATAATTCGAGGTGATTCGTGATTCCTATACCTATAGTTGTCATTAATTCGTAGTTTAGGATCTTGTGGTAGCAATTTTGTGTTTGATTGTGAAATTTGTGGTTGAATGTGCATTAGATTGGATTGGGGTTGTGTTGGGGGCTATTTTCCGGCGATTCGACGGCGGCTGGCTAGTGGTGGCTACGGCCGGCGTACGGGCAGTTTCCGGTGGGTCCAATTTGGAACCAATTGGTTTGATTTGGACCCAATTGGTTAAATCGGGTTAATTCGGGTTTCAATTAGGATTGAATTTTGTGCAAACGGGTTGGTTTAGATTCAATTGGGGCTATCTGGGCAGTTGGGGCTGACCAGGTCGTGGGACCGACTGTCCGGGGTGTTGGGCCGGTGGGTCCGGCTGTTAGGCCGGCTGCATTGGGCCGTTGGGCCGGCAACGTTGGGCCGGTTGAGTGGGGCTGCCTGAACGGGCAGCGGGTTGGGGCTGCCGGGTCGATCCAGTGGGTTGTCGGCTGATCCGGTGGTGAATGATATTGCTCAGGCGGGGGCAGGCGGGCCCGAGGATCGATTCCTTGGTCTCGATTCCGCGCAGGTAAGTTGGGTTAATTGCAATTTGGGTTGTTTGATTATGCATGACAGTAATCGCGGGTCTTTGGCCCGGATAGGCCGCTACGTGACTTATTGTGAACTGTGAACTGAGATTTAAATTAAATTGATCTTGTTGGTGAATATTGTGGATTATGAATGATAAATAGGAATTATGCCACATAGTATAATTAGGCAGGCCTGAATTGGATTGACTTATTGAATCACCAATAAGATATGCTAGGAAGTGGCCTTTGCGGGGCGTCGTTGCACCCCCGGGGGTCTTGGGTTAAAAACGTACGTACGGAAGTCCGCGACCTATCCTGGCATCGCCGGGACAGGGGCTTCAACCCACCCAAAGTGAATCTCCTTTGGGTTTATGAGCTGGCCCTTTTATAGCATCGCTTGGGGTGCCATGACTCAAAGTAGTTGATGTGGAATAAAATAAGGACATGATATTCAAATGAAAGGTGTTAAAATAAATATGTTTATTTAAGCTATTTTTTTTCTCCGCGATCACATGTTGTTATTTGTATGCTAACGTGGTGCTATTCTGTGAGTTAATGCTAGCTTAGGTATATTTTCATTCAGCAAATCGCTGAGCGTGTAGTCGTTGTTGTTTGACTGCACGCAGGTAAGAACACAGATTTTGATGGGCAACCCGGAGGGCAGTGAGGTGGTGGTGCGGCGTGGATGGCTCCTATTACTTAAATAAATAAACTACATTATTTTATTTGGTTATATGGACTGCTGGACGTTACTTTGGTTTTATTATGCTTTCGCAACGTTTGGACTTGTTTTATTACTCCGATAAATTTTGGTTTGGTTTCGAACTCTCACAGATGAATTTTATAATTTATTCAGTTGATTTATTTTTTTTATAAATTATGCATGCGAATACCAATTTAGTAACAACCCGGTTCGCTAACCCGTTGGTTCGGGCTATGCGGGTTGGGGTGTTACATGAAAACATTATTTTAACAAATGAGTGGCGAATCAAAAAATAAAATTTACATATTCAAAAACTACATCAAAAGTTTTATATCAACCAATTTGCTCTCAAGAATGCTTGAAAAACTTCATGGATGAATTTATAAGGTATGTAATAATAGATTTATAACACTATGAATTTGATTTTTTATTATTCTTATTACTATTGTAGAGAGTATATTTTACTATTGTTAAAATATAATTTATAGATTTTACTTCATTATGACACAACGTCTTATTTTATCGGTGTTGTCCAGGGCTCCTAATTTCTCGGAGACGGCTCTGATGCCATGTATGGATCAATTTACAAAAAAAGAAAACAAGAAAGTGCATGGCAGTTAATAATGGAACTCTACTAGGTCGAGTGACCAATGGTGATCGACTTGAAAATACAATGTAGGCTCTTTTGATTCAAGTGCATATATAGGAGGAGGCATGCATGTGTCAAGATTAGTTAGTTGTTCATTCAAACTCTGCATTTGTGTAGATTAATATATACATACATTTGTTTCCTAAGTGACTTGCATTTTCTCATGCCAATCCAGAGTGATTTTATTTGAGTTTACTAGTAATAAGTAAATACTACACAAATGAAAAAAAAATGTTTCCTTTTTATTACAAATTGTAATAGTACTATATTATTCTACACTTGAACAAAAGGGCACATTACTTTATCGACTCCATCTTCAAGCATCCAATTTACCCTCCACTCCTCCACATTTCTTCAAGCTCTCTCATGGGGAAATGAAGATTTATAGTAATTCTAAACAAGAAACTGAGTCAACACAGTGTTAGACTTAGCTAAAAACTTACAGAATCTCAATCCAAATTGGAGAAAAGTACGAGGCAGCAATGAGGCACAGAGAGAATCGTAAACCCTACCAATGGAAGGGGGCAAAAGAAATCCACTGCTGGGGTTCGAACCCAGAAATTGATTAAGTCCATCAATAAGCCTTTGCTACAGTGGAAATGGACAAGTTTTTGCTATTCACTTCATTTTATTTTGTTTTTAAAACCTTTTATTAGGCTTTTAATCCGATTTGGTGTGTCAAGCAGATAAGATTTGTATAACATACCCACTATTAGAGCACTAGTAATGGTCATGAAGCGGGCTTCGAACTTTCTCTCTCTGCCACGTCAGCTTTAACTTACACCCAAAATTCACTGAAAATGGTTTTGAAGCCCCGGAGCTTCAAACTGGGGCTTCAAACCTTCATTTTTTACATTTTTAAATATACATCTTCTAAAATTAAATTAATAAAATGTAATTAATTTATTATTTAATTAAATTGAAACACGAATAATAAAAAATACATTAATTAAATAAAAAAAGCGACAATAATTTAAAAAAAGATACATTAATAAAAAAACTAAGGTAAAATATATTTCTCCTTGATCTCTCTCATTCTTTGCTCATAGATCATTCGTCCAAACTCCGACAACGTCCCGGGGTCGGTTTGCATGACTTTCATCTCGGCCTCCTGCTCCTTTAGCTTCAACTCCTTCTCCTTTAGCTTCAACCTCTTTTGTTCTTGGAGATTGAACGCCCGAAGTTGTTCAATCATTGCCCGGCCGATTTCGTCGCGGGGAGAAGCGGAAACAAAGGCGGACCCTCCCGAACCAGAGGCAATGGATTTTGCCTTCTTTCTTCCGATCGGCCGTGGAATGGGGTCCTCGTCATTGGAATCCGCAACGTTGAAGGGAGGGATTTGATCGGTAGAACCGATAGTCTCATCGACCTCAACCTCGTCGTCGACAGTGGATCTTTTCCGGAACGATCCGCCGTCGGGATTGTTGAATTGTTGCCACTTCGGGGAACGACTCAAAATCCTCCAAAGATCGATGGGCACTTTGCCTTGGTTCCCGTCGTCTTGATACCGGGTCGTGGTAAGCCGGAGAACATCGGCGTCGTTCGTGCCGCTCCTCCGGGACCGGGAGCATTCCTCATAAACTCCCATAAACTTTCAGACTTTTTTGTTGATGTGGCTCCATTTAGAAGTGAGTTGGTCCCAGGTTCGGTAGGAGCCGTCCTTCTTCATCGCCGTGAAGAACTTCTCCTCGATACGATCCCACATCGCATCCTTCGTTTGCTCCGTAGCTTTAAAAATGTATTACACAATTTTTTTAGACACCATTAAATATAATATATATAAATAAAAACATAAATATATTAGAAAAAATAAATTTTTTACCAATGATAGGATGCTCGGAGACGTCAACCCAAGCCGACGCCAATATGCACTCCTCTTCCCGCGTGTACTTTTTTTTGATCCGGACGGTTCCGGTTGAGTCTCCGGAACCGAATCTCGGTCGACGTACCCCGATTGTTGCGTCTCGTACATCGGCGGTTGATCGCCCAACTCTTGGTAATACCACATCGCGGCGTCGACGGGCGTGAGATTGTCGGGAAAGAAGCCGGAGCCAGAATGATTCATGTTGAAAATTGGGAGGGGGTAATTTCGAAATTTAAAATTTGGGAAGAAGAAGAGATTGAAGATGGAGAAGATGTTAGAGATTGGGGGGTTTGAATTTATAAGATTTTTTTTTTGAAATGGGGTGCAACGGCTATAAAGCCGTTAGGGAGAGGAATGGAATGACACCGCGTCATTCCTTTGACGCAGGGCCGATCATGCCCGGAGGGGGGCGGTGTTTAACGCCGCCGGGGCATTAAACGCCCCATCACGCCGGCGGGCGTGAAGCCCATTACCAGTGCTCTTAGATTTTGTTACGAGTAAATTCCTATAATAATCCTTTTGATATTTTCTATATTAATCTTTAATAAGTTTTAATTACCTATATCATACTTTGTTATTGAGATTTATTCCCTAATCTATCATTCGTAAAAAATGTCGACTTAGTAGAGGCTATTTTTCATCATCTAAAACTAGAGTGAGTAATCAAATTCATCATTTCTAATGAAGTATTTTTATAAAATGGTCTTTTCTAATTAATTAGGTGTATTTTTTTTTAAATTTCAAAATATTTTGACAAATTTTTTATAATTCATGGATCATTTACAATTTTTAATTTTAAAATTGTATAGAAATCACTAATTTGATAATTTATTTTAAGTTTAGATAATGGAAATATCAAAATACCCTCCATGTAATCATCATTTAAGTAACATTTTTATGAATGGCTATTTAAAAGACCATTTTGGAACTTTACTCTTTTATTAACTATTCCGTGTTAATTTGTAACCGGATTTTTTTCTTGGCTATGTATATTTTTATTAATAATAAAATATCTTCCTATATATTAAGTTACTTTATTAAAAAAAAATAAATCTCTATTTATTACTCCGTATATGGAGAATTTTTTTTGGAGAATTATGTAACTAAAAAGATAAAATTTTCCTTATATAACTTTCCTTTATTAAATGGACGGTAAATAACTGAAGTTTAAAAATAAAAAAATTATTTTAATACTTTTTTCCTTTTTGGGAATAAATTATTTCTATAAATAGTCACAGATCCCATGCTGTGGAGAAAACATATCTACTTCACGACAATTGCTTTGTTTGATAACAGCATTTTTTATTAGCGTTAGCGTTTTCGATAAAATTTTAATGATGCAGATTAATTCTGAAAATGCTAACGCTAAAGGCTACCGTCGGATAGCTTTTCCAAAACGCTAACGCTAATCTCTGACGCTGATGCCAAACGAGACCAATATATTCTTCTTATTTTTTCTACAAACATACATTAATAATCATGGGTGTGTGGTCAAGCTCAAAAAGGATTGATCAAAGTCTTGCCACTTTCATGTTTAAATTGAGAGCTATAAGGGTTTATCGAACCCCTGGCCTATCGCCCTGAATGACAGACGATGCAGAAAATAGAAAGTACCCTACATTTGGAAAGGGGCAAAAAAATAATATTCCGCTGCTGGGCTTCGAACCCAGAATTTGGAGATTTGATTAAACTCATTAAAAGCCGGTGCTACAGCGGAAATACATAACCCTGTGCTGATACAGCTGCACTTTGTTAGTTTAAAACTTTTATTTAGCTTTCAAGC